AGGAGACAGGATCACCTGTTCCTCACGGCTTCAGGAGGGTCTGCACTGCTCTTTGCTCCTAAATCATGTGAGATGGAGCTCCAATGAAAGGATTTTGAGATTTTAGAACCAAGACCAGCCAGAGAGCAAACCTGAGCCATGGGGATGCTGTGAGTTACCTGCACCTCATTTCAGTGAGAGCTTTCATCTCCAGTTCAGGACCATCCTCCTGCTCCTTAAGGTTTTATTTTATGTGCAAARAGGGTGGGGAAGTGAGACAGGGAGTGCTGCTCACATCCCATTCCTCATTCTGAGCCTCGTGGGGACATTTCCATGCGGAGGAATCGCTCTCATCCTGAGCTGAGCTTTTTGGGAAGAAGGTGGAGACTCCCAGTTTTCCAKGGASYKTTTGYWGGCAGTGAARAACCAACCCCTGAGCCCAGAAAAAYGAGACAGGAGGACACAGAGCCCRTCAGATCCAGGGCTGGGTGTTGGGAATGGGCACWGCCATCCTCAGGGATTTATTCTTTTCCTCCAGCCACCCCTCAGCACGCTGTGAGCCTCACCTCTCCCTCCACTCAGCGTTTTGAGCCTTTAAATGAGAAATCAGATCCTCCTGGCTCTGGCCAAGGCTCATTTGTGACTCTGCCATGTAACAGAACGGAAAAAGAAAGTCCTCCCACAGCTCCTCGGGGACTTGAAATGCTCCATATAAACAACGCCCACTGCAAGGGAGGGGAGGGGAATCCTTAACAAGGAAAAACTTACTGAGGATCCCTGACAATGACCAGAACCCTCGGAAAGGGCAGTTTTCAGGCTGGAAAAGAGGCCTGGGTTTGGCTGGTGCCTTTCCAGGCTGGGAGAGCCTGGATTTGTGCTGGTGCCTGGCAATGCCCACACCCACAYGCACAGGTGAGAGGCTGCATCACAAGAAGCCCCAAATTTGCCTCCTTCCCTTCTCTGTGCCCTGTTGTGACCCCAATCCCATGGGATGAGTGCTGGCCCTGCACAGCCCACACCTGTTTGTGCCTCGGAGCTCCAAACCCTGAAAAAATCCAGCTGGGTTTGGAAAAGCTCCTGCTCAGCTCCAACAAATYCAGCTGGATCAGCCCCTGGGCACAGCAGAGGGACGTGAAGGGAGCTGGGGCAGGGGACAGGACACCCTGACAGGGGGCAGATGTCACCCAGAGCTGTTTATGRCTCCCTCCATCGCTCACAACCACCAGGAAAAGCCAAAATCAGTGACCACCCAGGGATTATTCCTCCAGGAGAGCTGCCAGGTCAGCGTTTCCCACGGGAAACACCAAACAGCCGTGCCCATCTGTGCCCTGCAGACCCCCCGAGCATCTTCCCACCCTCCTGGGGCTCCCCAGAGGGCTGAACGAGCTGAAAAAACACTGCTGGAGAGCTGCTCCTGCTGGAAAATGAGACCTGGAGAAYGACTCCTGGTGATTTTTCAGTGGTAAAGAGAAAAAAAAGGGATTTGTCCAAGGCCATGGAGTGAAGAGATTGAACCCACAGAGCTCTGAGCATTCCCTGGGCTGAGCTGCTGCTCGCAGCCCCTCTCGCAGATGGCCTTGTAACGAAGCAAACTGAGTGGGACTGAGCTCTGGATTTGTTTTCCAGACTTGTCACACATTACTCATGTGATCTCGAGAAAAAAAAGTCACTCCGTCTCCCTGCGGCCAAGTTCACAGTCTATGTATCCTCCAGTCACTTACCCAAATCTGCATCTGTGCTTTTCTTCATATCYTTCTGAAGTTTTTTGGTCTGATCTTCCAATCTGAAAGATGGGAGAAAAGAAAGAAAGAAGGCAAAGTCGGAATCTTGGAAAGAAAGAAAGAAACCCGAGTGTATCATACGTGCAACAAATCATTTACGGGCTGAATATGCTGGCTTCTGGTGGGAGTTAAAAATATCCAGGCAAGGCTCGATGAAGTTCAGTGCAGCTCAACCCTTTCGGGTTGTTTTCAGATGGTTTTTAACCTTTTCAAGTTGGTGATCTCTTATTCATAGCTCRAAATGTTTCCTCAAAGCTCTCACACTTCACACAAATGGCAAAGCCAAATGCTTGCAGATGATCTGGGAGAGCTCCTGTGACAGTGGCAGAGCCACTCCTGGTCCCACTCCTGCTCCCCGCAGTTTTCTGCCCATTTTGCACCTTTTTTTTTAGAGCTGCCATAATCTGTAAATACTCAGGACACCTTTGAACAGSCAGAGAAACCCTGAAGAATTGGAAATTACAGGGCAGAGAGGGATTTGCTCACTGGGAAGAGCAGCACTGGCTCAAATTCTTTGGGAAGATGGGAACACGACAGGGAAATGAGGCCGGGCCTGTCTGACCAGTGGGGCTGATACTCACTGCTGCAGCTTTCCATATTCCCTTTCAAAGTCTCTCTCCACCTGTGGAAAGAAGAGATGGAAATCAGCTCTGAGGGACTGAAGGGCAGCCTGGAGTGGAAAAGGAGGAAAAGTTGTCCCTGGGAAATGCTGATCTGAGCACAGGGAAGTGCAGGCTGCAGCTTTAATGGGAGTTATGGCTCGAAAGAAAAGGAAATTGTGGGGTTTTGGAAATCCAGGCTCGCTTGTGGCAAAGTCACTGACCCCAAAAGCATCGGCTCCATCCAAGGATGTGCTCTAGAACATGGATTGGAGGGTGATGGGATAAATGGGAATGCTGGAAAAGCAGGGAGGTCACAATCGAGCATGGCTCAGTGCTGGGGGTGATCCTGTGTTCTGTCCCAAAACCAGAGAAAAGCTGCTTCTCCTCCAGCCCCATCAAGGACATGAGGAAGGCTGGGCTGTTTCCACCTTTTGATCCTCCACAGGACACTGAAATTCCCCCAAAGCACCCGCTGAACCCTCCAACTCCACCCCTAATCCTAACCCTAAACCCTAACACAAACCCCTGTCCTCTATGGGGATAATCCTAACCCCGTTCTCTCCCAAAAACAGAGAAAAGCTGCTTCTCCTCCAGCCCCATCAAGGACATGAGGAAGGCCTGGCTGTTTCTTCCTTTCTCATCCTCGACAGAACACTGAAACTACCCTAAAGCCCCCACTGAGCCCTCCTACTCCATCCTAAACCCTAACCCTAAACCTAACCCTGCTTCTCCTCCAGCCCCACTAAGGGCATGAGGAAGGTCTGGCTGTTTCCACCCTTTCATCCTCCACAGGATGCTGAAACATCCCAAAGCACCCACTGAGCCCTCCCACTCCATCTTTAACCCTAAACCTAAACCCTAAACACTAACCCTAAACCTAACCCTGCTTCTCTGAGAGCCCCACATGAGGAAGGCCTGGCTGTTTCCTCCTTCCTCATCCTCCACAGGATGTTGAAACTCCCCCAAATCCCACACTGAGGCCTCCCACTCCATCCTTAACCCTAACCTTAAACCCTAACCCAAACCCCTATCCTCTAACCCTAACCCTAATCCTAACCCGGTTCTCTCCCAAAAACAGAGGAGCTGCTTCTCCTCCAGCCCCATCAAGGACTCGGAGGAAAGTCAGGCAGTCTCCTCCTTCCTCATCCTCCAAAGGATGCTGAAAATCCCCCAAATCCCACACTGAGCCCTCCTACTCCATCCTTAACCCTAACCTTAAACCCTAATCCTAATCTTAAACCTAACCCTGCTCCTCCTCCAGCCCCATCAAGGATTCCAAGGAAGGTCTGGCTGTTTCCTCCTTTCTCATTCTCCACTGAAACTCCCCCAAATCCCACACTGATCCCCCCCACACCATCCTTAACCCTAACCTTAAACCCTAATCCTAACCCTAACCTTAACCCCTAACCCTAATCCTAATGCCTAAACCAAACCCAAACCCTAAACCTAACCATAACAGTAACCATAATCCTAACCCTAAATCCTAATCCTAACCCTAACCCTTATTCACCCCCTCCACAGACCCCTCATCCCCACAACACCCCACTCCCATAAAATTCTCAGGCTGGAGCCACAACTGCACTGAATTCTTGGAATTTTCCTCCAAAAAAAGGAAAGGGAAACCTTTTCCTCCGAGCTCCGAGCTCCAGCACAGCCTTCTCCCCAAACCACCTCAGCGCCTGCTCCCTCCCACTTGCTCGCTGGCAGCAACCCTCCAGTGATAGGAGATATTTTAGGGAACTTTTCTTTCCGTGCTGACTGTTTTAACACACTTAAAAAACATTTCATTCCACACCTCGTCAAGCGGAGAAGCAAATGGATTTCAATTGACCGGCCAAGAGTAAATCCATGCGTTTGTTGTCATGGGATCGGCACTGGGGTTGGGTTTTGTTGTCAAGCTCCCGTGTTATTAAGGAAATGCGGAGTGCTGGGAGCAGCCAGGACTGCAAAGATCCAAAGATTTGTTCCAATTCCTCCTGCTGGCCCCGGGATTTCAATCCCAGGCTCGATGCGACACCAGAAACGCTCAACGGGGACGTTTGCTTTTGGTGCAGAATTGATGTTAAGAGCTTGGGGGTTCAAGATTGAGCTCGTTTTTTCCCAAAAATCGCCTTTTTTAAAAGCTTGGGGGTTGAAGATGGAACTCGATTTTCCTGAAATCTTCTTTTTTAAAAGCTTGGGGGTTAAACATGGAGCTCGGTTCTCCTGAAATCTCTTTTTCTAAAAGCTTGGGGGTTCAAAATGGAGCTCATTTTTCACAAAATTTCCTTTTTTAAAAGATTGGGGGTTAAAGATGGAGCTTGGTTTTCCTGAAATCTCCTTTTTTAAGAGTTAGGGGGTCGAAGATGGAACTTGATTTTCCCAAAATCTCCTTTTTAAAAGCTTGGGGGTTAAACATGGAGCTCGGTTCTCCTGAAATCTTTTTTAAAAGCTTGGGGGTTCAAGATGGAGCTAGGTTTTCCTGAAATCTCATTTTCTAAAAGCTTGGGGGTTCACGATAGAACTTGGTTTTCCTGAAATCTCCTTTTTTAAGAGTTAGGGGGTTGAAGACGGAACTTGATTTTCCTGAAATCTTTTTTTTTAAAAGCTTGGGGGTTAAACATGGAGCTCAGTTTTCCTGAAATCTCCTTTTTTAAAAGCTTAGGGGTTCAAGATGGAGCTCAGTTTTCCCAAAATCTTTTTTAAGAGCTTGGGGGTTCAAGATGGAGCTAGGTTTTCCTGAAATCTCCTTCTTTAAAAGCTTGGGGGTTAAACATGGAGCTCAGTTTTCCTGAAATATTTTTCAAAAGCTTGGGTGTTCAAGATGGAGCTCGGTTCTCCCGAAATCTCCTTTTTTAAAAGCTTGGGGGTTAAAGATGGAGCTCGGTTTTCCCGAAATCTCCTTTTTTAAAAGCTTGGGGGTTAAACATGGAGCTCTGTTTCCCCAAAATCTCATTTTTCAAAAGCTTGGGGGTTAAACATGGAGCTGGATTCTGCTGAAATAATTTTTAACCCTCTTTTTGGGCTGCACTTGAACTCCAGCAGCCCGGCCTGAGGGCAGGCATTGCCCATTCACATTCCACCCCATCCCATCTCCCAGCTGTCCGCACCATCCGCTCCCACCATCCGGGAGATTCCAGCTGCCTCTCTCTCTWTCTCTMTCTCTCCCCCCTCCTTCTCCTCTCCAAAAAATCCCCTCCCCGGAGCTCCGAGCTCCCTTTTCGTGCTGCTAAAATTGGGCTGTGCCAGGGAACAGCCACGGAGCAGCGCGGGGGCAGCTCCCACGGAGTTCGGGGCGCCGCAGAAATCCGCGGCAGCCGCCGGCTCAGGTAACCAACGGGCTGGGAACAAAACTCACCCTCCATCCCCGGGCCCGTTCCGGCTGCTGCAGCAGCACCCAGGCAATATTCAGCTCTATTTATAGGCTTTGGGTGTGAATTGTTTTGGTTGAAAAGCACCACACCAAAATGGGCCCCCTCGGAAGGCCGTTCTCGGATTGTTCCCTCGCTGCGGTTGGGAGGATTTGCTCAGCAACTGATTCCTCCAAAAGCTGGTTCTGAAATAACTTCTGGAGGCTCTGGTTCTGAAATACCTGCAAAGATTCAGCATTTCTGTCCCTTTTTTGCTGCTAGATTTATCCATTTCTGGGCAATAAGCAAAAGGTAGCGCTGCTTAATGGATACAGAGAAACTTCTGGTGACTAAAGGGGCTCCAGGAGAGSTGGAGAGGGATTTGGGACAAGGGATGGAGGGACAGGACACAGGGAGAGTGTGAAAAAAGTGAGAGAGAGTAGGATTTGATGGGATTTTGGGAAGGAATTCCTCCCTGGAGGGTGGGGAGGGGTGGGATGGAATTCCCAGAGGAGCCCCTGGATCCCTGGCAGTGCCCAAGGCCAGCCTGGAGCACCCTGGGGACAACAGGAGTGTCCCTGCCATGACAGGGATGGGATAAAAGGAGATTTTTAAGCTCCCATTCCCACCCAAACCATCCTGAGATTTCATGATCCATTCCACAAAGACAAAACCTCCCCACCCTGCGACCCTCAGGGCGCTGTGACCCCCCAAAACCTCCCGAGCTCCCCGAAACCCCAATCCCAACCCCAGAACAGGATCCCCACGGGACAGAGGTGACTCCAGACAGATCCACTTCATCTGCCCAKCCTGACTCACACCCCATCCCCATCTCAGGGACAGCTGCCCAAAACGATTGCTCTACTTTTTTCACRCCCAAACTGGTTCCCAGTCCCCACAACCTGCGAGCTCCCAGTCCCGGATATCCCATAAAATCAGCTCCAGAGAGGCAAAACCTCTGCTCTGCTCTTCTCTCACGTGCTCCCACCCAGCAGAGCCCTGCAAGGAGGGCGAGCTGGGAACATTTTGCAGAGCACACAGTAATTCCCACTCCCGGTAGCTCTCCGTGGTCACACGCAGCCGACGGAGAGGATTAGCACGTTGGGAGTAACGGGAACAAGAAGTACAGGCAAGAAAATTACAATATCCTGAAGGGAAGTTTCCGTATTATTAAAATAATCCCACAGCTCCGCAGCCTCTTTCTGAAAACTCCGAATCAAACCGTGCTTTTTTGTAGGAAACCTTTTTTTTTTTTTTTCTTCCAGGCACAGGGGCTGGGTAATGCAAAAATCGCTCGTCTCGGGGTTTTTATTTAAATCTACATCGAGAGAGAGACGAGCTCTCGAAAGCTTTGAAATAAAACAACGTTCTCTCCCTCACCCAGTTTGGATTTTTTTTTTTTTATTCTCCTGATTACTTCAAGGCCTGAGGGAGTTGCCTGGGGTATTTCATAACCCAAAGAACCGTATTTTTTTTTTTTTTTTTTTTTTTTTTTGTTTGCAAACACTGGGCCTCCCACCTGTGATAAAATCCCTCCTGCTTGAAGGGCAGGAGCATCATCAGCACCGTGGTTATGGGGCAAGGGAGCAACACCAAACCCTACACTACAAAGAGATGGAAATAAGGGATCGTGAGGAGCCTTTCTATCCCTCAGGGGTTCATTTTTTTTCCCTGGAGGAGGAAGATGAACTGATTTCTGCATCTTCCAGTGGTCTCAGGAAAAAGAGGGAAGCGTGTTTTCCCCCTCCCTCCTCTCCAAAGAAAAGAAAYCCACAAAATCAGGCCACGAATTGTGTTGTAAGATGGAATTTCTGCTGAGTTTTTGCCATCCCACCAAGAGATTCGAGGTGAATCCTGTGGGTGAATATTCTGAGCCAGAGCTGCAGG